GATGTGGGGCTCGATCACAGGACGCTGGGATCATGACCTGAGCCAAAGGGAGAAGCTTAACGACTGAGCCACTCAGGCGCCCCAGTTCTTCAAAATCTTTTATCTGTTGATTGGTTTTAGAATTTACTTTAAAAAATATCTTTGTGTGAGCTAGAATAATTTCTTAACTTTGTAAACATTTCCTATTTGTGTTGGGAAATAATAGCTACAGGAATAATTGCAGATTTTTTTCAAAATGAACATTATAAAGAATTGATTACATACTGATTTAAAGTAAAATATAGCAAATTCTTAGTAACCCAAGAGATGAGTACCCAGTTTATGGATTATTTGGCCTTTAAAAAAAAAATCCTTATGTGATTAAAAAAAAACCCACTTTTTTTTCCTGTGAATTCATGTATATTCTCAAAAAAGAATAGATAAAGGTTACATTTTGCCTTTTGATTTATATTCTAAATGACTGAAGCATGTAATACTAGTGAATGATAGTAGCTTTGAGTTTTATGGCTTTAAATCTGTGGTTTTTAATTTTCGTATACATTCTGTTTAGAATATAATTTTTGGGGGGCTTATGGCTGATTATAATTTTCATGATTCATGCAGTCATACTTAATTAGCCATAGGATAGAATACATCATTATCAACTGTTGAGAAGTAGTGGATTATCTGCTGGTTTTTAGGACTATCTTGCATGGCAGTTGTGTCTGCTGTTGCTGTGCTGGAGTGAAAACATTTAAGAGGAACTGAGAAGACAGACATAGCTGCAGGTAAATCATAAGCTTTGGGGGAAAACCTGACATAAAACAGTAATGAGAGAATTGCCATGGAGAAGGTAGGTAATTTGCTAAAATAGGGGTAATCCATGCATGAGTAATTGAATGTTCCCTATTTGTACTCTCTGGGAAATTGAGAATTTAAAAGTTCTTTGATTTTCTGTATAAGTTGCCAGATTTGCTTGAGATATATGATGATTTTGATCACCAAGTTATTTAAATAGGTGATTAGTACATTTAATAAATCTGTATTAAGATTAAATTAAGTGCAGTATAATTCTTTATATTTGCATTTTGTTTTAAAGCCTTCCAAAGTGTTTTTACCTCTATATATCACTTCAGCATCACAAGGTTCTATATTATCTTTGTCTGCTTGGGCTGCCATAACAAACTACCATAGAGTGGGTGGTTTAACAACAGGAATTTATTTCTTGTAGTTCTCTGGAGATTGGACAGTCTAAGAGCAAGGTCTGGCTAATTCAGGTTTCTTGGTGAGGACTCTTCCTGGCTTGTTGCCTTCTGGCTGTGTCCTCATGTGGCAGAGAGTGGGAGACCTCTTAGCTCTCTCTCTTAAGAATACTGATCTCATTATGGAGGCCCCACCCTCATTACCTCTTCTACACCTAGTTACCTCATAGGTCTCGTCTCCAAATATCAGCACATGGAGAGTTAGGGCTACAACATATGAATTTTAGGGGGAGGGGAATATATTCAGCCTATAACACACATGAAAGGAAATATTTTCTCATTTTATAGATGAGAATATTGATCCCAGAGTAGTAGTATAAATTAATTCTGAACATTACCTAGCTAGTAAGTTAGAGAACTAGTTTCTTTAATCAAATACTCTTGTTTTTCCATTTAATGCAACAATTTAAATCTGCAAGTCAGAAATCATGTCTTATCTTGTTATTTCCCAGTGTGACTATAATTTATCTCTAAGTCTCTGACAGTATTTCAAATTCCTGCCAAGCAAATGAAGCTGCTCCTGGTTCTCTGAATACACACTGTGCTCTTCTGAGATTTCTTCTTTCTTCATTTGAAAGGTCTATTCATCCAGTATTTCTAGGAAACTTGTCCTGATTCCTTTTTCATTTTGTTTCTTAGATGAGTATCTATTAAGAGGCCTGGACTTGCAATTTTTTTTTATTATTTATTTATTTGACAGAGAAAGACACAGCGAGAGAGGGAACCCAAGCAGGGGGAGTGGGAGAGGGAGAAGCAGGCTT